TGTGTGGTGCTTTATTTACAAAGTTGGTTTTGTTTTTTCTTTTTTTTTTTTGAGTATTGCATAATTTTTTTATAGACAATTGATTTTCGGTTTCATTTTTACTACAAAAAAATATATGTTTCTAAATTTGATTTGACCAAATCGAACAAAAAATGTTATTATGTCAGTCCGTCTTAAAAAAAATAATATGAAACGAAAGGAAGGAAAAAAAATTAGAATAAACAAGGGAAAGAAGTAATAAAATATGTGAATAATTAACAAAGAAAATCATCATCGATAGAGTTTCAATTGGAATTTGGTGGATTTTTAAAGATTTCGAATCTATGAATCGAAATTTGGAATTTTTTTTGAATTTGCATTTTTTTTTTCTCGTAAATTGTGAGAATTTGTGTGTGATTTTGGCTTGGAACATCATGTGAATATCCAAGTTGGAATAATTTTCATCTTATTTCCCATGAAGATTCGATACCGAAGAATGAGCCTCATAATATGAGGATATCGTAAACAAATAATCTTCAACTACAGTTTTTTTTTCTCATGAGAAAGAAATAGAATTATTTTTTTAAAGATTTTTCATGTCATTTTTTGTCTCTTACAAATTCTTTAATTCAAATCAAATACGTAAGTGTGTTAAAATTAATATGATTCGAAGGCAATATCCGTTCGATTCACACATGAAATGAATATATCCAAAAATAATAACATAGTTACAGTTTTTTCTCTCTATTTCGGTTTGTTTTTTTATTTTGTTTAAATACGACTGTACTATTTTGAACATTAAACGTTCCGTCTAAATTCCACATCTCTATCACGTTTTTGTTGTTTTTACATTTTATTTTAAATACATGTTTCGCTGATGAATCTACAATATCATAAATAGAATAAAGTGCTTTTTTGCTTTTCACAAGTAAAAAAAAAGAAAAATTCCTTACGTTTCTCTCACAAGGGAAAAACTATATACATAATCCTACAATTCTTTTGTTGTTTATGTTTTTTTTTTTGTATAAATAAATTACAAATTTGCATTCTTTTATTGTTATATTTTTCCATTTTCCATTTTTCTTTATGCTGCCAGGAAAAAACTCGTTCATTTTTTTCATTCTGAAAATACGAATTTTTGTCAGTATTCATTTGTGTTGTTACAAAACAAAATTGTATTACAAATTTTGTATATTGGTGAAAAGTCGTGCAAATTGTATAGAAAATAGAAATTTTGGACAATTGAATGTGTATTTTCTCATCAGCTATTTTGATATTGCCATTGGTTATGTTTGTTTGTTTTTTTTTCTTCGTCTGTTTTGATCTATGATGAATGTGTCAATATGCTAATACAGTATGCATTCTATTTCTCGCTTTATTCTATCGGTTTCGATTGTGTTCCGAAGTGTTTGTGTCATTTAAATGCAGATGATTTAATTCTCACTCTCTGTTTGTCTGAAGTGCAATTCGTCGAATCCAAAAATAAAATAACCCAGTCAAAGTAAATTTCTCATTTAAATGCCAGTATTTCGTTTCGGTCGTAGTATAAAATTCAAATTGTATGCAGTGTTGACGGCATAATAGACATTTGCATTTGGCGGCATGATTAACTCTTTGTCGGGCAGTACTTGAGCTAATGTATATCTGTCCGGATCACCGTCCAGCCCCAGTTTGAGCATCGAATTTTTTATCACGTGCGGCGTTCGCTCATTATTACCCAGCATTATTGACTTGTACAGCACAATGCCATCCAATTCAACATTGTCCGTTTCATAGGTGACACGAATGATATAAAAATCGGGCGATGGATTTTTATGCGGTGAATTTTGCTGATGCGGTGGCATCGGTTGATTATAATGGCCACTACTATTCGAACTGGTGCTATTATTTAACGATGCCGGCGTATTGTAGATGGCATTCGCTTGAATCGATTTGCCTAGCGCTTGATAATGGTCGCCACGTGCATGCGCTGATGGGGGTGGTGGTTGTCGCGAATCGATTTGCTCGCGTGAGGTAGTGTTGTTGGCATTTGACGAATGATTATTTGGCTAAATTGAAAAGAAAATCGAAGAAAATTGATGAAAAAATTCTCACAAATTTCTGGAGTTTTTGAAGGCAACGCTAAAAAAATATATGCCAATTACCAATTGATATGTGCTCGTGGACATCGCTTTATTCTGTCCACTCGAAGACGAATCCATCGATAGTGATGATACACTGCTTGTGGCTGACATTATCGATGCATTTGGTGGCGTCATGTCACGACCCAACGAATTATGCCGAGAAAAACTGCAACGATTTTCGAAATTATCAACTCGATCGCATTTTAAGTATTCAATAACTCAATTGTTTAACAATATTTAGAGAAAAAATAACAATTTTATTTTCCTAAATAATCGACCCTCACCTGAGATCATTCGATTGTCCGATTTCGCAGTAAAACTGCGATCCGGCTCCACTACTTGAATTCGATGCAATGGAATCGCTCTTCTTGTGACCGCTACCGCTAATTTGTGATCGTTTATTGTCGGATGACGGTGGCGGTGGTTCTAATTGACATGACAATGTGTGTGCCTCCCTTTCGTCCAGCACAAGCAAACTGGCAAACCAGCGATCGAACAGTAAATCTTCGGGCAAATGATATGCATTGGCAGCGCCCTGTAGCAATTTAATTTGGGCTAATACTTCAAATTCTTTGCGTTTCTTATCAAAATTTATCAAATTATTTGGTCCAATTGTGTCGGGTATTGCTGCGTGTATCATTGTTAAATCGGTTAGAAATGTTCCTAAATATGGTATCGTGCCATGACTAATGTGCGTATCCTGAAAAAAAAAAACGATTTGCAATTAATCACAAAATAGTTTCATAAGCGATTATTTAATAGCTATAATATAACTAGAGTCATCGATCCTCTCCAATTGGTTTTGTGTGGCGATAGGCTAGTAAATAATTTCTCACATAAAATTGTGAAAGATTCACTGAAAAACCAACATCTGATAATAATGATGATGATGATGGTTTTTCTCATGATCAAATAGTGACGGGAACACAAAGAGATATAAAGAGATAGTGAAAGTATAGTGTGTGTGTGTGCCTAGCGGCTAAATAGAAATGGTGCGAACCTGTTTTTGAAAGACTTTTTGTAAATGTCGATCATTTTCACCAGTTGTGTCAGCAAATTTGGCCGTTCCCTCGCGCATTAACACCTCACGTTGTGCCCATGCATTGTTGTCTTCGGAGAAAATGCGCGCCAGTTCATTGAATATTTCGAGTTTTTCGCGTGGCAATGCCGCCCATGTTTTTGACAGTCGATAGATTGCATTCGATTGCAAACCCGATATGATCGCCTTCAGCGATGAGAAATTTTTCAATATTCTCAACTCCTGAGCAATGTCAATCCACGTCGAAATAATGATGGCTCTTTCCTGTTTTTTTTTTTTTTTACATCGACAAAAAACATCAAAATTATTGTGTATCATTCGAATGTGGCATATAATTAAACATGAAGAAAAAGGTGCAAATGATGATAATAAATGGGAAAAAACCGCAAATCGCCATCGGGCGATATCATCAATATATAATGAACGACACGTTTTTATTGAAAATTTGCACTCACTTGTGGCCGTAGCTTTGGTTCAATTAAAATGCTAGAAATGACACGAAATGAAACTGCATTGAATTGTGTGACTGTTGCCAAAACGGTGTTGGCTTCGTTTTTATCACGTCGTGACCATGTTGCGCCCAAACACTGATGCGGTATCAGCCGCTTGAACAGCTCCTGCACAGAGACGGGTGAGAAAGAAAAAAATGGAATAGTAAACGGAAAATCAAACCAAACAAATTACACAATGGGCTTTTGAATGGAAGGAAGCAGCAGCAGCGATCGAATTGAATGTAGATGATACTGCTGATACGACTCTCACATACACAAAACGACAGAGAGAAAAAGCAGACGCCCCGAGAGCGTGGTGCCAATGTACTCACCATGTCCATGCGAGTCAATTGCTCGGCAAAGTGTTTAACGGAAATGTGTGGAAATCGGTATGCTTGCAGTAGATGGGATGGTGGCATAAATGCCGGTGTAAGGCATAAACCGTTGAATTGTTGTGCAAAATCGGTGCTATAATCATGATCCCATGGTGTGGCTGACGGCACGGCAACACGAGCACGTGCCAATCGTTCCAAACGATTTAACGCTTTGTGATGCACCTCCGAACTGGACAACCGTTTCGATGTGAATGCGATAATCTTTTTCAAATTGCTCACATTCCAATCTTCGGGATAGCCATCGAGCCATACATGTAGCGCAGCCACTAAACTCTTTTTATGCTGTTCGGCAAACGATTCGGCACCAAGTGGTTCGGCATGCAAACGTTCATAACGTTGCAACAGCAATTCGATGACTTGTTCGGTGCGTGCAAATGTTCGATATGTGGCCAAAAATACATTCACAAATGTACTCTCCAATTCACCGTCATCCGTTGACAATGCCTCAACCAAACGTGTCAATGTTGCCGCCTTCACAAAACGCACCCGCACCGTTTCCCATTCCAAATGTGAAATTTCATCGTCGGAATCCTGTGTGTGCATGCATAAACGGGACAAATTAGTAATTTAACCAATGGTTAATGGGTAAACAGCAAAAAAAAACGGAAAGCAAAAAGGAAGTGTCGAGTGTCGCTTAATCATTCATCCATTTCGGATGAACAATGGATAAGTGCGAGACATTTATTGGATATATATTGGAAATACTTACGCTACTTGCACTGGGCGTCGGTCGATGATATCGCACCTTCTTTAAATACACAGTAAATATTACGTCTTTTTCGCGCTCCTCACCCCATAGTCGCCAAGTAGGCTGCTGAAAAGAATGGTTTAACGTTACCGATTAATCTATGACCAATGAACAAAATATGGGAATTCACTCCCTGGGTAATTATCAAATTAGGTGTGTGTGTGTGTGTGTTCAACTGCAATGCTTGTGTGGAAAATTGGAATCGAAAAAATGCGTTTCTGTGTTTTTTTTTGTCGCTCGAGCACATCGTTTCGCTCCGTGTTCGTTTAGATAGATACCTTGACATACCACCGTGTTGTGGTTGCATATCCAATGTTATTGGTAGCGCTTGATTTGCGTCGATGGCGGCCACAAGTGGCGATTGATAGATGTTCGGTGTCGGGTAAACTTTTGCGACGTCGCAACTTCAATGAGCCGGTCAATGTGTGAAAGCATGTTGCCAAATTTTTGCCACGCAATGCATTCGCATTGATTTTGCGCGGTGTTATGGATTTGTACAATTCATCGTATTGCTTGTCCTTGTCGCACAGGTGCATGTCATTATTCGACTTACTGATGGATTTAAGGCGATTAAGTGGAACAGCTGCATCGTGGCCACAGCCGACGCCACCATTTGTCGCCGTTGCACTGATATGATAAAATCGGCTCTTTGCCGTATTTTGATTGCTATTGGCTGTGCGAAGCTGTTGTGTGCATTTCTGCGCTAGCACTTTCGTTTTTTCGGTGAGACTCACTAAAACATCGTTCGCTGAGCAAAACATTCGCGTGTTTGATTTGGTCGGCTTGTATTGATGATCTAAATGTGGTTTCTACTTTTTATTCTTCTTTCAATTTGAAAAACTATTCAAAAATTAATTGTAATTGTCTTGTTGAGTTTCGATTCTTTTTTGATATTGCTTAAATAATGCTCAATTCCATCGAATCCAATGTATTTCTCTTTTTCTCTCTATTCAAATATATCACAAGTAATTAGCTCGGATCGCTTAGTACGCGTTGCACTTGACTTCGCTAATCCGATGCACAAATATACGTGTTGTCAATAGGTTTGCTGATTTGTTTATGTGTACGACACTTTTGCGTTTGGTTTGAGAGGCTTGTTGCGGCTGATCGCCGCGCGTTTCACTCCTTTTCAAGTCGTTGCAGGCGTCGCGCCAAACTCGTTTCTCTGATTTTTTTTTGTTGTCGCGTGTGTTTTCTTCTTCTTTGCTTCTGTCGTCGTCGTCGTGTGTTCCTTTCTTGCATTCGTTTTCACTTCTTGTTTGAAATCATAAAAATTCCTTTTTTGAATTGTTTTTTTTTTCTACTTCACTCTTTTTTTCTTTCAATATTATTCGTCGTGTGTTTTTCTTTTACTCTAGTTGAATTTATTCGTTTGTAGCTTTCTCCTCTGTCGCCTTTTGCCCGGTTTCGGTATTTTGTTTACCTTAGCTAGTGGCTAAAAAACAAAACTGCGATCCTTGTTTATGGTCATAAACAACAAGCCGTCATCTCAAATCACTTGTTCAATGGCCACTGTGTATATTCTGTTGTAATGCACCTGATTTCATGCACACAAACCGATCAAGCAACAATTGAGATGCATGAGTGGCGGGGATTTAGTTGTTTGTTATCGTCGTCGTTGTCGTTGAATCGAATTGATGTGTTGTTGTTGTCGTATTAGCGATTTACAATGACCAACATGATTAATCCATCGGGAAAATGCATGGAATAAAAACAACGTTTTCATTACAACTTTTTATTATTATTTTTTCTTGCTCTAATGCAGCTGCTGCTGCTGCTACAGCATAGTGAACGTAAGTTTGATTTATTCGACTCGATTCACACATTGTGCGCATTTAACCAACATCGACACTCGACAAATATCGAGTAATGCAATCCATGTTTTTTTTTCTTCTCCTTCTTGCTCTCTTTCTCGCATACTCAATTGCAGATTCTACATTTATGTTATTTATGCCCTCATTTTTTCCACCGTAGAAATGCACTCTCGTTAAAATAAAATCAATGGCAAAAGAGAAGACAAAAAACACGGCAACTCCAATTGAAAACGTACTTATGATCGAATGCAATACAAAAATTAATTGATCCGTCCGTTCGAATTTTTCATGTGCTTTGAACGACGATGACGACGATACACACGATACACACGGCGTTCGTGCATATTTTTTTTCTCTCTCTCCTGGTCAACCGTAGGTAATGTGCTTTGAAATGACTCATATAATACGAACAAAATACGCTCATGATGATTACTCAATTACTCGCTGTGTGCTTATTCTCACTAGATACAAACTCGCTCAGAATTTTATACATGACAAATATTGAATTAACCCTTTGACGACCTTTGGGACACATATGTCCCATTTTGTTTTTCGTCAATAATTTTCACATTTTTAAACCGATTTCGATAAAATTGGTTTCTATTGAAAGAGAATGAATGTAGCTACCAGAAAGTACCATAATATTGGATATTTATCATCACTGCGCTCAAATAGAACACTTCAAAGTCAAAAAATCTTGACTTTTTTTTCAAGTTGCGCCAAACCCTATATAATTTGAACGGTGCAACTTTTAAAGCTGAAAATTTGAAATGTTGTGCGGAATGTCCGTTTCTTTCTAAAAATAATCGACTTTTCTCCAAAAAAATATTTTTTTAAATTTTTATTGCTTTTGGCGCGATGGGACATATGTGTCCCATTGGTCGGTAAAGGTAACTAATTACCACTGGTTTGCCTGTATTTTGACCATTATTCGCGAATTTTCAAAAACCAAAATTTACAAAAATATCATCAAATTCGTGATTAAATGGGCACAACAAAGCACAATTCAAACCATTTTCGGTTCCAAACAATTCTGAACATCTTAAAAACGAAAAAGATTTTACACGTAGTTCTTATGGGAGACATATTTTCTTCCATACAAAGGTAGTTACCGTTACCGACCAATGGGACACATATGTCCCATCATTTTTTTCATATTTTCAGTTGAAAAAATTAATTTTTGATAACACTTTTACTAAGGTTATTGGGGTCGCTGAGCACGAATCTGCTATCAGAATTGCAAAATTCCAAGCCGTTCAGTTTTGGTCGTCAAAGGGTTAAAGACGTTGACTATTTACTCGATAAATAATCATAATTTTTTGTTCTTCTTCTTTGTGACAACCGAAAATAGCTCAAACGAAGTGTGAGCGCAAAACAACGAACCATAGGATAATGTTTAAGCTTCTTGAATAAAATTAAAGAAAATGAGCTGTTTGAAGAAGAGAGATAAAAAAAACACACAGTGAGAGAGAGATTGGCTGCTTGAATTAGGTGCGAAAATTGGCGTTGTCGCATGAAACGTAATTCATGTGCAATTGATGTGACAAAATGTGTGTGCGCACTTTTTTTCCGTCTATTCGAGTAATGTGCTGCGTCAGCCAAGCTGAACATCCGTGAACTGTGTGTGTGTGTGTGTGTTGAAAGCAGCTCGTGTAAATCCCAAGAATTGGAGTTAATGAAGTTCGCCTTCATTCAACATTCGTTTTTTATGTTTAAATTTGTTTTTTAAAGCGAATTGTTTGTTGGTTTTTTTTCTTTTCTCCAGCATAAAATAGCTTTGATATGCGCATTTTTCAATTCTATCGGCAGTTTGCCACGAATTTTTCTTTGAATGAAAACATCATCTTGATATTTATCAGAAAAGAAAATCTTTGGCAGTAAATCTATGCAAAAAAATGGTGATTCAAAGAAGATGTATAGATTTCAGGTTGAGATTTCGATTCATTCATCTGCATCAAGCCAACAATTACCATTCAAATGACTAGTGGACAATTGGCAATCGTTAGATGTATAACTGGTTTTCTTCTCACAGCCTCCACACATTGGTGTAAATAATATTATTTCATTCTCGCGTGTTTTTTTTTGCAGTTAGATAATTTGCATGCGAAATGATTTTGCATGTGAAATAAACGCCTTCACTTGGGACAGCCTCTGTTCGTTCAATTAGTGTTTGAAATCAAAACAAATTGCGAGCCGGGTCTGAGTTGAACAAGAGCAAAAAAACATACGCAGAGACTGAAGGCAGCGGAACAAGAAAAAAATAGAAAAGGCAGCAATATCATCAGTGAGAAGGAAAAAATGAATGACCGTTCCGGAATTCGAAAATTTATCATCGAAAATGATGTGGATGCAAAAAAAAACACGTGTCACCTCCTCGATAAATTGTTCGGTACAAATGATGTAATTAAGGTGTAACGGCTTTCGTTTAGTCGCTACATTCCGTGCAGCTTCTACTTTATTCGAAAAGCGATTTGACACGGTTTGGCTTTTATATCACCCGAAAAATGGCCACCTTTTTTACTGCTGCTACTGCTGTAGCTGCACGTAATCACCTCTTGGCTCTAAAGCAATTGATCACATCATGACAGAAGAATATAAATGAGGAGGTGTGTGTGTGTGTGTGTGTTTGTGTGAATACCTTCGGTCGACCGTCAAAAGTAATTTATGTGGAGAATCGTTCTGATTGTTATTCTTTTCGGTCTCGACACATTTCGCACATATTCGAAAAGAAACACAAAGGAGAGAAGCGTTTAGACGAAATGTGCCAAACAGAGATAATCAGAATAATTGTTTTCAATGTAATTTCAGTTGATGCCGAACATTTTTTTTTCTGTTCTCTATGCGAACTGATTGTTCCCTCTCACTCTCGCTTAACACTATCTCTGATTGAACCGTGATGGCATTAGCATCATCATCGATGCGTTGTTATTTGTTATTCACTCGTTTCGAATGGGAGAAAAAATCTTATCAATTCTTTTCGTGTTCTGCTGTTTGATTTGTTTTCCAAAAAAATGAGGCTTAAAACAAGAACCAACACACTCTGGCCATTAAACGGAGAGAAAGAGAGAGAGAGAGAAACATAGAAAAAAGGGCGCACAAAATGCAAATATGTTTTGACGGTTGAAATAATCGCTTCGTTATTCGTGGTATTTCACGGTAAGACCGATTGTTTTCGATTTGCTAATGTGCACGTTTGCTCTCGCTCGCACTCTCAGCTAAAACGTTTTACTTGTTAATACTCTGTCGCGTGCGCGGCTGCGCGAACTCGCATTCAACGCACAACAATAATCGCTTGTGTGCTGCTGCTGTGTGATGTATTGAATAAAAATAGTAAATTGTTGTATATTTATGTGGATTTAATGGCGTTTTGTTTGGGTCACGGACGGCTAAACAAAACGTTCGCCGGTCCTAAGTCATCGTCTTACTTTCTCGATGCCTCTATCGCTCTCATCGAGAGCGTCAAACGATTCCATTGTTCGTGACGATGGTTTCATGAGTGCACGAGTCCAGATTCTGTAATATCCAACCATTTAGCAGAATGCATAAGAATAAAGTGACAATTCGTCATTTGAGTCGGACGAGCATTCTTAATGCGCCGCTCGGTTGCTGAATTCTTGGCTTGGAACAAATATGTATGGAATTACTCAACGTAAACGGTTTGAATATAAAGCCGAAATGGCTCAATAGAATAGATAATACACACTGTGCTGGCTAACTATTCTTGTTTGTTTACGCATTTACTACTATGTATTATACGATTTTTTTATGCATACGACACGCCGCCGCCGCACAACGCGCTTGTACTTATAACAAAACGGCAGAGACACGGTTTTTCTGTATTTTATTTACGTTTGGCTCACTTCACCATCGTACACACACACTCGATTCGATAACACCGATGACGAATGCACACCGAATTCTACACACTACGATATTCATTTGTCGTTTGTTCATTTGTTTGTTTGCTTTTATTTTCAATCAGAAAACGTTTCCGTTGTACGACACCGAGACGAAAATAACACACGTAATTGTTGTATGAATGGCGTAGTTGTTCTCGTTTTCTCTCTCTCTCTCTCTCTCTCTCGATTTATTCTTTGTTCAAAAATAAATCATACTTTTTAATCTCCATTTTCATTGTTATTGACATGTTGAGCAGGGCAGAGCCAATCAAGCAGCATCGAGTCGACTGCGATCGATTTGGTTATAACTTTAATCAATAAAATGTCAATCAAAAAAGCGGTCATAGAATAATTATTATCAGGATTGACATCGATCGTTGGGTGGCCCTGTCACCCATCATACACATCACAAATCGCTTTTTTTCTCCCTCTCTCTTTCGATCTTCTCAAATAAGATTTTGTTCTTGGAATTTTTTTTTCTTGTCACAATTTGAGAATCTCAAATGGAATCGGTGATTTTCTGATGAGGGTACAAGTCACCAAAGAGCAAGAGGATAGTACAATTGACAAGCTGTTTTGAATGAAAAACCAAGTTGACCTTGATTGGAAAAATGGCAATTTTCTTAAGAAAATTCTTGTGAATTCGCAACGTTTTCGTTGATTGGGTCGGGTCGTTTTGCTCGTTTGAACCGTGTGTTCGTAAAAGTCCCCATCAGAGTCATTGAAATGTCACCGAGAATGGAACTCCGTTCATCAATTTCATTTAATTGAATCACCTCAATCTTCGCTCGCCCACCCACCACAAAGCCATTTTATTCCGTATC